TGGAATTAGGGAAGGCCAAAGTGTGTAGAATCCACAATATGAAGTGCCAGGGAAATGAGAGCCACATATGTCCCAGAGCTCACACAGGACTCACAGTAGTTCCTGTTCCCTTCAGTCAAAGTGGAAAACCACAGAATTCATAAACGATCAGTAGAGTGCTCAGAAGTGTTTTGCCTCAATAGGCAAATGCTAAATGCTACTTTGGTCCTCACTAAAAAAGTTTACAAGCAGGACCCAAAAGAATCCTAGAAGGGTTTTCTAGCACCCAGATTTCCTGTCAGTCTTTGTGAACCCCAAAGTTGTTTGAGTTTCAGGGCCCACAGCCCTGAGAGGGATGAAGGAGTACTGAGTGGGTGGGACAGTGGGCTTACAGTCCCTTTTGTACACACATTTCTTTGCCTTCAAATCATGAATTGGATATCTGGGAAAGGCTTAAATTGGAATAAGAGGTCCTATCCTATTTTTACAGCCACTGTATAACAGTTTAAATACAGATTATGTCATGGAATCCTGGCCTTCAAAGATCTGTGCTCTCTGGACTTCATGGTCCCTCTCATATACTCTGGTCATTGCATTCTCCCCAAGTCCTCCTGAAGTTCCTCACTAGATGAGGGAGTTCTGTCTGGACCCACTCCCTGGCATCTGATCATTCTGATAAGATCCTTCTTCCTCAAAGTAAAGGGAAAAATCTTACTGTCATTTCAAAATTTTAAAGCATGCCTAGAGGAATGCTGGTATTCAAGGCATCACTGAAGAAATCCCACTTTCTATGGATGAGAGATTAAGTTAATTTTCTGCTCAACCTACTTAGAAAACAGGGAAATTAAAATAACCATGAGACAATATATTTGTACACAAAAGTTTGACCAAAATTTAAAAAGCTGATAAAATAAATGCCTGTGAGTGTATAAATTATTCACAGGCGTTAAAGGTGAGAAAATGAATCAGCCCAGTTTTATTAGAACAGAATTTTAGCAATATTTATAAAAATTTATAATCATCACATTTTTTCACTTTAATCCAGTTTACAATGTTCTATGTCTTTCCTTTAGGAAAACATGTGAATTTGCCCAAAAATTAATGCTCAGTGATGTTAATATCATTTCTAGTAATCATAACAATGTTTTGAAACAATTTATGTGTCTATCAGGAATAAAATAGTTAAGTTCAATATAGCACATGTGCAGTTTAGAATACTTGGAGGAGTTAAAAGAGTGATGTGGACCTATATCTGGTCTATGGAAAGATCCAGCATTCATTTCAGTCAATGACAAGGGCAAGAGGCAAAACAATATATACACTGTTATTATGTATATTAAAAACTCACAATGTATTTTATAGCACATCTAGATAAGGAAAAGTCTAGAATAAATTTTAAAATAACACACACATTTTTAATTGTGGTTACTTCTGAAAAGAGGGATGAATTTTGGATGGATGTAGTATGGAAGAGGAATTGTTATTTATCCATATTGTTAGAACTTGGGGGCAATAAGAGTATTTGCACTATTGCCTAAAGCCAAAGTCAGTGGAAGAATGTTGACTTTTCTTATCAAAGATAGCACAGCTGCCATGGAACCATTTTCCACCTACTAGAAGAACTCCTGGGTTTTTAGAAATTCTGTCTATGTACATGTTTGTTTAGAAAGTGATTTCCATGAACTTTTTCTCATCTACTACTTAATGCAGGAGGCTTTGGTTTTGACCAACAAGGTAAAGTCACTTATTGTTGAATGTGGTCAGTGACCAATCTCAAATAATTCAGGCCATTAAAACTCTACTGCAAATATCACGGTGGTTGATGGCTGGATCGTATTCCATTGTATATATATACACCACATCTTCTTTATCCATTAATCTGTTGATGGACATGTAGGTTATTTCCATAGTTTGGCTATCGTGGACATTGCTGCTATAAACATTCATGTGCACGTGCTCCTTCGGATCACTACATTTGTATCTTTACAGTAAATATTCAGTAATGCGATTGCTGGGTCATAGGGTAGCTCTATTTTCAACTTTTTGAGGAACCTCCATACTGTTTTCCAGAGTGGCTGTGACCAGCTTGCATTCCCACCAACAGTGAGGGAGGGTTTCCCTTTCTACACATCCTCACCAACATCTGCCGTTTCCTGACTAGTTAATTTTAGCCATTCTGGCTTGTGTGAGGTAGTTTGCAATGATGTGGATGGAACTAAAGAGTATTATGCTAAGCAAAATAAGTCAATCAGAGAAAGACAGTTATCATATGATCTCTCTGACATGAGGAATTTGAAAGTCAGGGTGGAGGTTCGTGGGGGAAAGGGAGGGAAAAAATAAAACAAGATGGGACTGGGGAGGGAGACAAACTATAAGAGACTCTTAATCTCAGGAAACAAACTGAGGGTTGCTGGGAGTCAGGGGGTAGGGATAGGATGGCTGGGTTATGGACATTGGGGAGGGTGTGTGCTATGATGAATGCTGTGACTTGTGTAAGACTGATGATTCACAGACCTGTACCCCTGAAGCAAACAATACATTATATGTTAATTTAAAAAAAGGAAAAATGAAGAAAAGGTATCATTGTGGTTTCTAAAACCTCCTCTCTAACTTCAGGATTATATCCCAAGAAACACTAAACTCTGTGCCAAATCAGACTGTAGTCACCAACAGATTTGAAAACACTTGAAGGATATGATGGAGGCACCTAGAGGAGATGAGAAGGTGTCTAAACCTCACTGTCAAAATTATTCAGAAGGACAATTGCTGTCAGAGAGGAGTCTGGGAGAGGGATGGGAGATGCAAGGAACTGGAATGCTCTAAGTCAGGGAAAGGCAGGGGATAGTGGCTGTCTGTTCCAGCAGGAACAGGTGCTGCCTCCAGAAGAGGACAAGAGAGGAAAGCTAGCCTGAGTTTGGTCATGAGGGGCACTGGGGAAGTCCCAAGGGAAGGAGCTGTCATGCAGGAAAGTACCAGGACTGGACACAAGTGCTGAGACCAGGGCAGAGCCAGCTCTCAAGAGACCCTAGGGTGAGGGGCAGGAGGATCCTAGGAAAATGAACCCCATGAACAACCCCCAAATTGTGCTTTTCATTTGCACCTTCCTTCTTTAGACCTGCTTTTAGTACTTCGGCCACAGGGTCCTTCCTTCATTGCCTCAAAGCCATCATGGAATAGTGAGAAGAGAAAGTAATTAAGAGACAAGAGTTTGACCTCATGCTGGAAGGTATGAAACAGTGTGGGCTCCACTGAATCAGACCATAACTTCAGTCCCAGTCCAGTCGCTTATTGTGTGAACGCAACACATTACCAAGCCCTGTCTTCTAGAACTGTTGGAATGTGTACAATGTATGTGAAACACATGGCACAGTGAGTGGTGCACACTGAAACTTTAGAGAATGGCAATTACTGTTATGAGTTTTTGACCCCAGATACCAGCAAACTTCCTGCTGAAATATTTGGTTTTTATTTTGTTTTGTTGTTTTAGCCTAGGAGATGTCTGAGACTATTCAGTGATGTAGGATACTGTACACCGAGTCAGCCAAAAATTGTGCTTAACCAGAAAAAAATACCTTAGTAACTAATCCCACTTAGAGCATATATTATTTAATTTGGATGTTGGGGAATCTTCCCCATCTGGATGCAACTCAAAGCTCCTAAAATGTGTGTCAAGAACCAACTCTCTTACTAGCTTGATTGGTGCAAATAAAAAATCCAATTAACCAAAAAAAAAAATCAACTTGTCCCTCCCTCCCAGTTACCCTTTGATCCAAATCACTCCTATTTTCATTTATTTAACCCCTACCAAAATCAAACCCTCCCTTATAGTTTGCTAAATTTTACTCAGAATAACCTAGTTAAATGTCCTTTGAATGGAGCCAGCTCTGTTTCTCCCAGCACATGGCAAAGAGTGAGAGCACAGTGGTTTCTTGGCATCTAGCCTCAAGGAAGCATTACCCTTATTTATGAGGAACTCTCTGGCGATGATATGGATAAAATACCTAATTTCTGCCATCTGTTCATCTTCATTGGGACCAGAGCATGGGGCACCTACAATCCCTCCCCAGGTAGAGATTTGCGTCTGGTTTATTCATGATCCCAAAGTGGCTGCTAAAAGCAGTTCTTCATTGAGACTTAGTTTCTCAACTCTGTGACACACCACCCAAGGGTCTGGCCCTTGTTAACCACCCTCATACCCTCCCCTGACCCACCACCCATCTTAACTTAAACTTCCCTCCCATAGAAGGATTTGAAGTTTCCCAAGGCTCCAAATTGTCTTGCCTCAGGACATTTACACTTGACAGCCCTCACCTGGACCAGCTCCTCCTTTCCAACCTAATCTTTCTTTGCACTTTTTGGGGTGGGGGGTCTTAAAGTGTATCTCACCATCTTACTTTTTTGGGTGGTGGCTTGGTCTTCTTTTTCTTACCATCCCCTAGACTACTGTGGTGCACTCCAAAGAGAAGATTCTCAGTTAATGTTTGAGGAATAAAAAAATTTTTAAGAAAGGCCAGTAAGCAATTTATTAGGTTCAATTTCTCTTACATTCTTCAATAAATGAAGCAATTTCAGGTATATAACTTTTATTTTACACAATAGCAGAAGACAAAGAATAAGGAAAAACCAAAAATTGGCTTTTACTTTTTTCTCTATTTTTTGATCCCAGCTATTTTGTTGCTAATTTCCTTCACATTTTAAGGAAATAGCTATTCCAATGCTATGTTCTCTTGTTCCAGGTCATTAAATAAGATAGAAGATTACCCAGTTTGTTTGATAAAATAGCACAACTCTTACTCTTGAACCTCATAAATAGCATTAAATATGTAACTAATATTATTCATACACTTACATTGTGAAGCTAATTAAACTTTTTTAAAAGAAACATTGGAAAACTTTGAACAGCAAAAGACAAATTATAAATTATTCATGTAGAACAAATGATATGCACTATGTTCCCTCTAGCACTACCTAAGCCCTCACACTACCTCAAACACAAAGTGAGGAAAGTGCTTCAGGTTTCACTACAGTTGGAAGAAGCTGCCAAAATTGACCCTGGAGCGCACGTTAGCCAGGGCACCAGTACGAAGCAGAGCTGCAAATCTGGCTCGGGTTCGCTCTTCCTCATCTCGCAAAGCTTCTTCATACCAGGATGGGAAGGCACTGGGGACTGTATCGTGGATCTTGGCCAAAAACTCAAGGACTTTCATCTTGCTGGTCTCAGCGTGAGCTCTCGGGCCCCACAGGAACTCGAAGCGTGGAGGATCACTGTTGGCCACCTGCTGGTACTGCAGGTACCTTTCCTGCACCAAATCTTGGGTGATGAGCTTCTTGGGATCCCCATAGATGAGGTGCTTCCTTTCAGCATATATCCCCATCACATTAAGTACTTCCCAGATATCCTCTTCAGTGGCACAGTTGCCCTTCATGAAGATCACACAAAGAATAGTCATCAAAAGGCCTGTCTTGGGCATGATCTCTTCACCTCTCAGCCTATCATCATAGGTGTGCTGAAATTTGCTGACAAGGGCGTAGCAGTGCCTGGTAGGGTCGACTTCCTTCAGATCAATGCCAAAGGCCAGCACCATTAGCTCAGAGGCTTTCCTGAGGATCTCATGAAAGTGCTCCTTGTGCTTCTTGATGACATACTTCATCATGTCTTCCTTTGTTATGGGCTCCCTCATGTTGTACTTGCGCAACAGGAATTGCACCAAAAGAATTGCCTTGTCATCTAGCAGGGTTCTACGGTAATGATCAGTGCTGGGTTGTGCCTGAGAGGTGCTTGGTCTTTCCTTGTCTTGGCTCTGGGCACCTTCATCAGATCTTGTGTGTGAAACACCTGCAGAAATAGTAGTGGATGGAGCTGTATGGGACCCCTGGGATTTTCTACCTGACCCAGCAGCTAAAGAGCTCTGAGCATTACCACCAAAAGGAGGAAAGGGGGAAGTGAGGGGCTGTTCTTCAGCTGCTGCAGTGGCCTGAGCATCCTGGACACCCTGAGCTTCACTCCGGGCCTGACGGCGTTTCTCACGGGCACGAAGCTTACTATTCTGCCCCCGAGGCATGGTGACACTGGTTAGAGGCAGTAGACAGTAGTGTGGGCAGGAGGGCAGGCAATGAGGGCACCTAGAGAAGGGAGAATGAGATAGTGTGTGCACCTTCAACAGGGACATTCCACCTTGTCTTTCTTTAACCAAAGCCGCTTTTACGGGCTTCCATGAGAGCAGTGCTCTAGGACCCCACAGGCCTCCTTTTCTAATCAGTCTGTCCCCTGGGAACCTTGCAGAAGTAGAGTGTGCCTGGGGCTGCAGCTTCCAGCCCTGTCTGGGTATACTTGGGACTGAGAGCAAGGGCTGGGAAGTTACACCCTCTGTGTGGTTCCCTCTGTGTTGCAATGGAGAATTCTCTCAGCTCACATTTAGGATCAGCCTGTCAGCGGCTGACAGCTCCGCTGACCGTCCCCCCCCCCCGCCCCCGCCCCCGCCCCCCGCAGCTCTGAAGCTAAACTCCTTAGGCCAATGATCTTACCACCCTTAGATTCTTGCCGAGCAAGTGAGGAAAAGCCTTAGTCGGCCACTTCTGCTGCAACCTTCCAGAGCCAACAATAGGAGCAAGGTTTTATGGGATCCCCATGGTACTGGATGATTGGAGTTTTCAGTGCTCACTCATGTGCTCACTCCAGTTAGACCAAGACCCCTGCCTCCCGAAGTTTGACAGCCCTGCCCAGGGCCTCCCAGGGTAGAGTGCAGGGGTAGGGGTTGTGCGGGGTTGAGAATACCCTCAGTCCTCACTCAGGGTCCTCTCCGTGACTCCGAATAAAGCCTGGGATGTATCACTCTGTTGATCAGGGTCCACCAGCCTCAGATCAAAGTCTTCATTCTCTGAGACCCTCAAACGGAATTGAGGGGGCGTTGGGCCTAACAGCCAAGCCTCGGGCCTCTTAGCACGGGGACAGATCGGGGCAGAATTCTGTGAGGTTTCCTTTGTTCTGGGCGGGGCATGTTCCAGCAGTTCTAAGTAAGGTTCCTGACCTTGACTCTCAGCATTGGCTGTCTCTTCTGCAGACCTGAAGCTGCCCTTCTCAGACCTGAGACCCTGGAGGTGGAGGTGGGTCAGTACTTCACGCTGACAGCTCTGTCTCTGCTTCCCAGCGGTGAAAGTAGGGGTGGGACTAGGTGAGGGCTTCTCTGTTCTGGGGTGTGTTGTCCTTTCTGTCCTTAGGGTGGAGGCAGGGAGTAAGGTGTCCTACTCTTGGCTGGTTCTTTAAAGACTGCCTGGAAAATACAAAAATCTCTGAAAGCTCTAAACTGTTTCCCTAATGCAAACCTTACAGAAAATTCATGTGTCCCAGGCTAGATAAGAGATGGGGAAGCTGCAGTGTAAGGCAGCGTCCTAGGACGCCTAGTAGGCTGTAAGAGGAAAAATACAGCGGCGCCTAGTGTTTGTTTGCAAGCCAAACTTAGACTTGGGAACCTTCTACTCTAAAAGATCTGTTTTCTAAAGAAGAGACTGAGCTGCATGATTTTGTGAGATTCAGTTCTTTCCACGTTGTCTAAAATTGCTCAGTCCAGTGCAGTAACTTTTATTTTATTTTAGATCCTCATTCATAATAAATATATTTACATCTTTAACAAGTATATGTATGTAGGTATTTTTTTCTTGAAAGAATACCTACCCTTACTGTGATTCATTCTTGTATTCCTTATATTTGATTATAATATTATTTTTTAAAAAGCCAGTCCTTACCCTTTAAAGAGGTTTCAGGTGGTTATTGTACAGCCTCTGGACTCATACTGTTTCAAACAATCCCAAACTTTGATGCTGTCCTAATATTAACCCCATGGTCCTGGCCATTCAGCCTCGGAAAAGCAGCCTTAGCTCCCTTCACTAAAACAGGAGAAATTCATTATATTGGGACACTCTGGAAGAATCAAAGGCTCAACTTAAAACCTTTCCTCTGACCAATCCTATCTTGTGGTTACAGATCAGTTCCAACTTCAGGGCATACCCCCGCCTGCTGACATACAGATTCTAGTTCAACATGGATAGTCTCTCTCAGGAACTTCTCAGCTATGTTGTTTTGCTGTTGTAAGACTTTTTTTTTTTTTATTCTCTCTTGTATAGTTTCTCTAGGGTTGATTTCAGGAAACAGCAGCCTGAGTCTGGTATCATCTTGGAAGTTGTATGTGAGGCACTGTATTAGCATGCTCAGGCTGCCATAATGAATTACCATAGACTGTGTGCTTTAACAACAAAAATTCGTTTTATTGGGGCACCTGGGTGGCTCAGTCGGTTAAGCATCTGCCTTCAGCTCAGGTCATGATTCCAGGGTCCTGGGATTGAGCCCCACATCAGGCTCCCTGCTCAGCAGGGATTCTCTTTCTCCCTCTGCCTCTGCCACTTTCCCTGCTTGTACACTCCCTCTCACTCACTCTCTATGTCAAATAACTAAATAAAATCTTTAAAAAGAATTTATTTTCTCAAAGTTTTAAAGGTAAGTAGTTCTAGATAGAGGTGAGGATAGATTCAGTTTCTAGTAAGAGCTCTCTTCCTGGTTTTGCATTTGGGTACCTTCTTGCTATGTCCTCACATGGACTTTCCTCAAAATGCACGGAGAGAGAATGATCACTGGTGTATTTTCCTCTTCTTATAAGAATATCAACTCTAAAAAAAATATATCAAATCTATTAGACTAGGGCCTCACCTTTATTATTTAACCTTACTAACCTTCCTAAAGTATCTCCAAATACAGTCACATTGAGGATTAAGTCTTCAACATATGAATTGGAGTTTCAGGAAAATGGCACAATTCAGTTCATAGCAGTCCATATTTAAGTCTGTAAATAATTTAAGGAGAATTAACATCTTTACCATATTCTTTTTCCCGTGAATAAACATAGTGTGCTCTACTATTTATTTGGGATTTTTTTTCTCTAAGTGTATCAGTACATATTTATAGTTGCCTCCAAAAATACTGTGTACATTTTTGTTAGATTTCCTTTTAGGTAAAATTTGAATATTGCTGCTGTTGTTTTGGGATATTTTCTATTAATTATCTTAATTAGTTATTGATTTTGTGTGGCTAGGCACCCAGTTTTGGTAATCTGTTACACAAGTTCCTTTGAATATTTTGTGCACTGATTCCTTTGGATTTTCTAATTAACTATCATATTGTCACCACTTATTATCTCAATCATTTCAATATTCCTTTTTCTTATTTATTTTGCCACTCTTATTCCTCTTGTTGTATATTTCAGTCCACCTTTACACAATAGATACAGTACCATAACATCTACCTTTTTGTCCTGTCTTTGATGAGAATGCTTCTAACATTTCACATTTATGTATAGTTTGCTGTAGATTTTAGGAAATAAAAATTCTCTTTGAATGTTATTTTGCTAAAATTTTTTACCTTAAATTGGTGCTAAACATTTTTTTCAAAGGCTTTTTATCAACCCTTAGACATGATCAAATGCATTTTTTACTCTAATCTATTAATGTAGAGAAATTTCAATTGGCAGTTTTTTTCTAATATTTTAATATCTTTGCATTTCTTGAACTCAGTCTGCTTATTCACTACTGTATTGGATGTGCTATAAATTTATTTAGGATAGATGCCTCTACATGACTGAGCTTGACTCAAGTGACTTTTTTCTTTGAGTGTCCTTATCTGGTCTTTGTATCAAGATCAGCACACCTGTTAAAATGAGTTTAGTTATTTGCTCTTTTTGTATGATTTGGAAGAGTTTATGTAAGGTGTCCATTAGTTTGTGCAACTAGACTCCAAATCTGACTGGTCTTGGAATATTTTGAGGGGGGCTGGGACATAGACTAGAGTTTCAGTTTGTATTATTTGACTGGACTTCTCTATTTCTATTTGGAACAATTTAGTAGTTATGTTTCTCCAGGAACTAGTCCGTTTAACTTGGACTTTAAAATTTAAAAACATGATATAGTTTTTTTTTATTGTTGTAAGAAGAACACAATATTTGATCTACTCTCTTTTTAAAAATTTTTATTTTTTAATTTTTTTCAGTGTTCCAGAATTCATTGTTTATGCATCACACCCAGTGCTCCATGCAATATGTGCCCTACATAACACCCACCACCAGGATCAACCAACCTCCCACCCCCAATCCCTCCAAAACCCTCAGATTGTTTTTCAGTGTCTCTTAACAAAATTTTTAGTGTGTGCAATCCTACTTCTGGATATTTATGCAAAGGAATTAAAATCAGGATCTTGAAGAGATATTTGCACCCCCACATTCATTGCGGTATTATTCATGATAGCCAGAATGTGGAAGCAACCTAAATGTTTAGCAACAGATGAATGGATAAAGAGAATGTGGTATAAGGACATGATATTTGTAATAAACATTTTCACTAGAGAAATTATTAAAGGTATCCAACAGTATGGAGAAGAATATAATGAACTCAATTATCTGACACTCAGTGTCAATAATCACCAATAGTTAGAGGTAAAAGTTTAATCAGATTAGCATTCGTAAGTTTTTAGTTGCTTTATTTGCAAGGTCACTTCAGAAGTGACATTGTGCAATTCTGTTAGGAAGACCATGTGTATGTCTCTTTTTTTTGGTGATGTTGGCAGACACTTTTGATCATTACCTTTATCCATTAATCCATTAGAAGCTGTGGGATGGTAATTCTATAATTTTATCATTCCTTGTGAGTTTTTCATCTGAAAAACTTCTACAGGAAGAACCTTTCCTTCCTGGTCCACCATGTGGTTACCTTGAGGTATTGGCAAAACATATGGTGTTCTCATATCAAATCTCTTCTGCACCTATATTTTAGACAATTTACTTAACATTGCTTATTCCTAGTGCTTTTTTTGTAATTGAAATTGTAAAAATTGTGTATTCCATACGTTTTTTAAAGAAATGGCTTAGGTTAGTTGGCTTTACTATTTTCTATTTACTTATTTGTACATTTATGCTTATTATTTTTTGTCTTCTACTTATTTCATTATTTAAATAATAATTGACATACAATATTGTATTACTTTCAGGGGTACAGTATAGTGATTTAGTATTTATATACATTACAAAATGGTCACCACAATAAGTCTAGTTACTGTCACCAGACACAGTTGTTACAATATTATTGGCTATATTCCTTATACCATATATTAAATCCCCATGGGTTATTTGTTTTATAACTAGAAGATTGTATTCTTAATCCCCTTCAACTATTTCATCCATCCCATCTGCCCCTCCCTTCTCTGGCAACCATCAGTTTACCCATATCTATGTGTCTATTTGTGTTTCATTTTTTTTCTTTTTTATTTTTTAGATTTCACACATAAGTAGGGTCATTTGGCATTTGTCTTTTTCTGACTTATTTCACTTAGGGTAATACCCACTAAGTCTATCTGTGTTGTCACAAATGGCAAGACTCCATTCTTTTTATAACTGAGTAATATTCCACTGTGTGTGTGTGTGTGTGTGTGTGTGTGTGTACCACATCTTGCTTATTCAGTCATCTATCAGTGGACACTTAGGTTTCTTCCATATCTTGGGTATTGTAAGTACCACTGTGATGAACATAGGAATGCATGTTTTTTTTTAATTAGTGTTTTCATGATTTTTGATAAATACCTAGAAGTGGAATTGCTGGTTATATGGTAGTTTTATTTTTAAGTTTTTGAGGAGCCTCCATACTGTTTTTCATAGTAGCTGCACCATTTTATTTTTGCACCAACAGTGCATGAGGGTTCACTCTTCTCCATGTTATCACCAACACTTGCTATTTATTTTCTTTTTGATTCTAGCAATTCTGACACATGTAAAGTGATATCTCATTTTGGTTTTGGTTTGCACTCCCCTGATGATTGATGATGTTGAATATCATCTCATATGCCTTTTGGCAATCTGCCCATTTTTTTAAAAAT